AGTGTGATAAATGTCCATCTGTGATTGGCTGATGCCCCCCATCGCCGTGGCGCCCGCGAGGTCGTAAACAACAGCTCGTCTCCCCCGGCAACGTGGCGTCTCCATGGACGCGGGGCAGCTAAGACGACCAACTCTGCGTGTGTGCGATCGAGTGTGTGTGTGTGTGTGTGTGTGTGTGTGTGTGTGTGTGTGTGTGTGTGTGTGTGTGTGTGTGTGTGTGTGTGTGTGTGTGTGTGTGTGTGTGTGTGTGTGTGTGTGTGTGTGTGTGTGTGTGAGGGGGAATGCGACATCCGACGACTGCCAAGTGTGTGTGTGTGTGTGTGTGTGGTAATGAGCGATCATAAGTGAGCAAATGTTTTCTCTGGGTTCCACTAATGTTTCGACAAACACACACACACACACACACAAACACACACACACACACACACAAACACACACACACACATACACACACACACACACACACACACACACAAACATACCTGATGTTCATGTGCAGTCAGTAATTTGTGTGTGTGTGTGTGTGTGTGTGTGTGTGTGTGTGTGTGTGTGTGTGTGTGTGTGTGTGTGTGTGTGTGTGTGTGTGTGTGTGTGTGTGTGTGTGTGTGTGTGTGTGTCATTAGTATGCCACAGTGAGCTGTGTCCATATGTCACTAAACACAACCATGTTTTATTTATCCTACGGAGGAGGGAGGAAGGGAGGGAGGAGGGAGGAGGGAGGGAGGGAGGGAAGGAGGGAGGGAGAAGGAGGCCAAGAGTCAGTGTCAAGGGAAGGAGGGAAAGATGGAGAAGAAACAGAAGAAGAAGAAAAGGAAGGAAGTTGCATAGAAGAGGCAATGAAGAAGAAAGGGAGGCAGGTGAGGAGTTAGAAACAGGTAGGAAGGAAGGAGAAAGTATAGAAGGAAGTAAGGAAAGATGTGAGCAACATAAGAAGGAAGGAGGGAGGAATAGAGCAGATTTAAGTTTGAGGAAAATTAGAAAGGAGAGAAGAAGAGGAGAGGAAACAAGGAGGAAATGCACATCATGTTGTGTGGAAAGGAGAGAGTTTTAAAGGGGACCTATCACGCAAAATGCACTTTAGTACGTCTTTTCTACATGAATATGTGTCCCCGGTGTTCCAGGGAACTCACCAAGTGTCAGAAAACACAACCCTCTCTATTTTCCTCCATACCCAAATCTCTAAAAAAGGGGCTGCAACGGATCTGATAAAAACTGATCCAGATTTGAACACTGTCCTGACGTCAGGACGGTGGCGCTACGGCTATTGGGCCAACTCCACCAATCAGGAGGAGACAGCCACGGCCATTGCCGTTCGAAAGCGCTGGAGACGCTGTAGTACATATGCCAGGCCTGTAAGTGGCGCTGTAGTCTGCCACAAAAGCAGCGAAGAAGACTTGGTTACCATGGTTACCCTTCTGTTTATTTTCCGCTGTGGATTTCTTTCTCCCTCCCCGAGGCAAGCGTTTGCTCCCGCTGCAATGCAATCCCTCCCCGTCGAGCAGCGACGTGCAGTCAGTGGAGGCAGAGCCTCACCTGTCATACTCCAATGTAACGGAAAAACAACTAAAGAAAAACGAAATAGTAATAATAATAAAATGTCTCCACTGATCTGTGTTGTAAGTGTGATTTATGTATGATTCTAATCGCTTTTTATAGTCAAAATCAGCAAATTTGATGACACAAGTGAGGCAGGGACGTGCTCTGCCTCTCGTAGGCCCACAGTAACTTGCTGGAGCGCGGGCACTAATTTAGCGCGGGCACTTATTTTGTGAGCGCGCTCAAGCCATTTACTGTGGGGTGAGGTGAGGCACAGATGAGATCTGCCTCACCTCAGAATGCGTCACCCCACAGAAACTGGCTGGAAAGCGGGCCCTAAGCGCATGCCTGTTCCCATCTCACTGTAGGTCACCAATGTAATGTTTGTAGATCCCTTTATTACATTTATCCTCGCCATCCATAGTCTCTAAATAACTTATTTCACGTATATATGATATTTAGGCTCGCTGGTCTCATCATACGTCGGCAATGAAAAAAGCACCAGGGGAGGCAGCCATAACCTCTGCCGCACTGAAGGGGGCGCACGTGAGCCCACAGGTTCTTGTAGCTACTGTAATTCTACGCAGAGACGGTAGACGTAACAACAAACTAGACTTTTGAAACTACAGGAAGATAAGGAGGACTTTTACAAAAAAGTAATAGAGATTGTTGTCCAGAAGGATAGCATGGACTTCATCTTCAAGTCAAGGTAAGACCACATTTGTAATGAAAATGGGATCTTACTTAGAAAGAACAATCCAATATTTAGATTGTGGGTATCCTTTTGTTGAACGGTCTGTTTAAAATGAATCGAAGCATCAGACTAAAAAAGCTTTTGAAAATAACCGAATATTTCGATTAAGGTCAAAATATAATATTTGTAAATCTGACTCAGTGAGTCAGTGCCTCACCAGCCATGAACCTCACCGCACGTCACTGCCGTCGAGGCAAGCACTGTAATTCTCTCCGGTTAGTCCACCAGCAGATGACAAACACCCACCTCTCCGCCTCTTCCAAGGAACGAGGGGACCATGCGGCAGAGTTTCAGTTTCAGTTTGTTTCGCCGGTCAAGATGTCCGTTAAAGTTTAAATCTTCCGGACAAAATTAGAAAAGTGCCGGTCAAAGGTCTTTTTTGTTATTTATTGAGCTTTAAAACAAATGAATAACGACTCTATATAATAAAACACGGAGGACGGAGATCTCTTTTTCTCCCCCTCTTCTGACAGCCCAGCAGCTGATCAGAGCACGTCTCCCCTCTCCTGCAGGGGGGCGTGGTCAGCAGAATCAGACCCGTAGACAGCAAACAGCACATAGAGCGAAATGAGGCATGGCTAAAATGCATGATCTGTTTGGTATTTTGAAAACAGAAACGTATAAATATACCTTATATAGGTATGGCCCTACAATATATCATTTAAATATAGCATGATGTAAAAAAGGAAGGGATGAAGAAAGGATGGGTGGAAAGGGAGGAAAGGAAACAGGGAGATAAGTCGAGAAAGAGGGAAGGAAAAAGGGAGGAGGGATGGACAGATGGAGGATAGAGACCCCAGAGACGAGTCATTCATCACCACCAGTCTTCCTCACCCTCCTCTTCCTCACCCTCTTCTCTCCCTTCATTCATGCATTCACTCCTCAACAATCTGTCTCTCTTTTTCCTCCCCCCATCTTTTGCTCCCTTTCTCTCTGGCACTCGGTTTTTGTAGGTTTCTTCATCTCCTCTGGCGACATCCCTCCTTTTTTCATCCCTCCCTTTTTCCTCCTCTTCCTCCCTCAGCTTGTTTTCCTTTTCCACCCATTTACACTTTCAGAGACGAAGATGATGAAGATGTTTCACTCACAGAGAATAAAGGCGTGGATGGAGAGATGGAAAATGAGGATAAGAAAAGGGGAGTAAAGGAGGAATGAAATAAGGGGAATCAGGGAAAGGATGGAAGAAGGAAAGGAGGTGGTGGAGGAGGGAAAGAAGGAGAAAAGGAAAGAGGAAGCAAGGAAGGAAGAGGAGAAGAAATGGATAGAATATGTTGTATAAAAGACACATATGTAAAACTTCACAACAGCAAACACGCCCAATTATTACATTGTTATAACTATATGATAACAGAATGTCCTGAGGATGGAGCTAAACGTTAGCACGTTAGCATTGTCTTTGTTTGAATTGAATTGGGAGGGATGAAACCCCAGAGCACACAGCACACACAGTGACAAGTGTTCTCTGCTTTTAACCCGAGTCTAGGAGCAGTGAGCAGCTAGTGTACAGCGCCCGGGGACCAATGGGAGTGAGGGGGGAAGGGGGGTGTCCGGTGCCTTGCTCAAGGGCACCACGGCAGGGCCCAGGAGGTGAACTGGGACCTCTCCAAGTAGCAGTCCACACTCCATATTTTAGGTCTGGTCGGGGACTTGAACCGGCGACCCTACGGCTCCCAGTCCAAGCCCCTACTGACTGAGCCACTGCCGGACGTTAGCCTGTTTCATGCTAACGTTTAGCTTTGTAAAAGCCTCAAATCGCTGATAGCATGGATCTGGACACGTTGATGTTACGTGTATTGATGGATTATTGGGCATTTACAAAATGCAGTTTTGTGCAGGATGTGGCAAATTGTGTCGGGACAAAATGGTGATCTATTCTTACTTTTCGTACTGTTGAAAACACTTTTTCAGGGTCTTAGAAGTGACGAAATCAGGTTGAAGGACCCTATTGAATCCAAGGAACATTCATTATAATTATTCCGCAAATTAATAAGAGATTTGAGGGTCAACTTGTGTTCGATAACGCAATACATTTACGTAAAATAGGGTTTGAAAATCACTCGACAGCACCAGCTGGAAAAGACAGACCCTACATTTGTGTAAATAGTACCAAGCAGGTACCAAATAGAAAACCAAAAAGAGAACAGGTATAACAAGTGGAACATCTGTATGTCGTACCATGCAATGGAAAGCAACGTTGACCTAAAGCTGTGAAGTTTAATCCAAATGTTACATTCCTTTACTCCAACATCAGTAACCTAATTAAGACATTTGTTTTACCAGAAGGTTCTCTGTCTTGACATCATTAACATTTAGGAGACACATGCACTGCCCCAGTTAAATAACGAGTGATTAAAGGGGGAGAAAAGGAAAAGGTGGAGGAACTCATCATCATTCATCCATCACACAAACATACACACACACACACACACACACACACACACACACACACACTTCCAATATTTGTACAAAGATTTTTTGTGTATTTTTCTGACACATCTCTTATAATTATTATATATTCATGTCTTTTCAATGCTTCTAACAAGTGCTATGTACATCCTACACACACACACACACACACACACACATGAACACACACACACACACACACACACACACACCACACACACACACACACACACACACACACACACACACACACACAACACACACACACACACACACACACACACACACACACTCTCTCTCTCACCGGTGTGTGAGAGCAGGTTGGGGGACAGCAGGCCTGGGTGCAGCAGCCGGGGGTTTTCCTGGATCCCCGTCCCAGGACAACGCTTCGGAGGACGGCCGGGACGAGAG